GCAAAATTCAAATCAAATGTGACTGTAATAATATGACTAACATTAATGTGAAATACAAAACAATGGGACTGTATGATATGAAAAAAACATTAGTGCAAAATTCGAATCAATGAGACTGTGATATGACAAAAATGAGTGCAAAATTTAAAAACAATGATGCTAATGATATGACAAACATTAGTGCAAAATTTAAATCAATGATACTAATGATATGACAAACATTAGTGCAAAATTCGAATCAATGAGACTGTGATATGACAAAAAATAGTGCAAAATTTAAATCAATGATGCTAATGACATGACAAACATTAGTGCAAAATTCGAATCAATGAGACTGTATGATATGACAAAAATTAGTGCAAAATTTAAATCAATACTACTAATGATGTGACAAACATTAGTGCAAAATTCGAATCAATGATACAGTGTGATACGACAAACATTAGTGCAAAATTCGAATCAATGATACAGTGTGATACGACAAACATTAGTGCAAAATTCGAATCAATGATACAGTGTGATATGACAAACATTAGTGCAAAATTCGAATCAATGGTACAGTGTGATATGACAAACATTAGTGCAAAATTCGAATCAATGAGACTGTGTGATATAACAAAAATTAGTACAAAATTTAAATCAATGATACTAATGATATGACAACAAATGGTACAAAATTTAAATCAATGATACTAATGATATGACAAACATTAGTGCAAAATTCAAATCAACGAGACTGTATGATATGACAAAAATTAATGCGAAATTTAAAACAATGATACTAATGATATGACAAAAGAAGCTGTTTGGTATGACAAATATGAATTGAAGTGATAGTTATATCTACATAAATAGTTTGTTTCACATGCTGCATTGTCTTACGTGAACAGATTACAACTACAGCATGTAATAACAGAAGGCCGTTACTCTTTCTTGTGGCTGGAGTATAGTATACTATGTATAGGCAAGTTGTTACGCATACACATTAACTAAATATTATTAGCTAAGAAGATGTGCCTATGTCATGATAAGGTGTTTCTAGATTCACGTATATGCATTCACTGATTACATAGTAGCTATGTACAATTTCTCAAACTGGAATATTTAATAAAAGCAGCATTATTTTATTGAACCCAGGTTAAATACCATGTGAGCTATGAACTATGACCGCAATATTTCTGTTGTTATTGTTGTTACATATTAATTTAAATACGAGATTTATGTACCCAAGCATCACATTTGTATGTCATCCTCACACGTTGTACGTCCACAGTATGTCCGGACCCCCCCCCCCCCCCGGTTGAAAAAATTTCAATTTGTTTCTGTATAATATAAAAAAAAATCATTAACTTAGTCTGGCGATTTTAAAGTTTGGACCCCCCATACAAACTCCTACCAGGCGAGATCAATATCTTGCCCACGTCACCCCAGCATGTGTTATTGAGTGCAGTATATTAACCTTTATGTTATGTCCAAAATGTGAAGTGATCTTCAATAATGGCTAATGATATCCTAAAGAAATGGGAAAAAAATAACTGGGTTTGACATTTTTGTTTTGCCTACTGTTCAAGAACGGTTTACAACCTCAAACTACTAGTCGTCAACTTCACCCAATAGCACTTTTAAAATTGCAATTGAAGCAAAACATAAAAAGTTACCCAGACCACCAAACATGTAAGTTGAAATTTGTAAGTAACCGGAAAGTTCTCGTGACATGACATGTTGAGATACAGGAAGTGGGATTAATATATATGACTACAGTCCCTCTATCCATACAGTCAGAGGACTGTGATATGACATAGGCGAAGGCTTGAGGAGAACGATGTGATATGAGAGGAGGGTTCAATTGACACAATATAGGTGAAGACGTGACGTGATGTGATGTGATGTAGAAAGAGGTTCCAATGGACATGGCATAGGTCAAGGCTTGATCACAGAAAGCCCAGGAACTATGATCAACTGTACGCACTCCCTATGAGCGAGGGGAGGAGGGTATCGGCTAGTATCTAGTGTAAGAAATAGATGAAGGCTCCAGCGAGCTCACATATTTTAAACTCAAAAAACAGTCAAACAGAATGAGAAATAAAATCT